AATCCATATCGAAACATGTTTATTTATTGTTTGCGAATTTTCATAGAAAAAAATTGTCGTACGAAAACCTGAGACGATAACGACGCAACTAAAATGTCAGAGTTGAGCAAGTTGCTTGAAAAGAAAATCGAAATAACGTTTCTGATAAAGAAAATAAGAAACCAAAATTAAATAAATTTTAATTAAAACGATTCAAAAATTGTTAATTCAATCAACATCTAAGAAATTTAATTATAATCATAACAATATCATTTTTCCAATTTCATTATTTATTATTATTTATATAATCCGTTTCATTCTGTGATTATGAATTTAATATAATTATTTGTTTAATAAAGTAATTAACTACTGACGTCATCAATTAAATAATTATAATTGATTATTGAATTTAATGAGGATAACAAACTATATTATTGTGTGGTAGACGGAAGGAAATTGCCTATCAATAAAAATACCAATTTGTAAATCAATTGAAAATTTTCTACTGAATTCTATTGAAATTGAAATGAAAAAACATATATAACTTATGATTTTCATATTAATAATACAGAAATTAATATAGGAGAGATAACGCGAGAAGAAAATAATTAATACAACCTTTAACGTTAAATAAGTAAAAATATAAGTATTTTCAGTAAAATTTTCAAATATTTTATTAATTTTAAATATCATAAATATTACGTAATTTAAATTTAAATATAAATAATTTGATTATATGTAATTAATAATATTTCTCATGCAAAAATATATCAAAAACGCCTAAAATCAATATTAAAAAAATATCTGAATTACTTGATTATTTGACATTTTACTACATGAATTTATTGTTGTTCATATAATAAATTAATTTAGTTTTTTTTAAAACTAAATTTTATACAAAACTTAATCTATAACTAAAACACATAAGTATTTATTCTTTAATAAAAGATTTACTTTTTAAATATTTTTTTCCCTCTTCATCTTTTTCTTAGTATAATTCGTAAAGCAAACATCTTGTATAAATGTTAGCAAAAATGTTCTTCGAAAATTTTCTTACCATTAGATTATTATATTTTCACATTAAATTAAAAAAATTTAGTTAAATTAAAAATATGCTAGAGAATTTTTCTGATTTACTGTAAATCTTGGAGGAAATAACAGTAAAATGAAGCCTGTATTCTATATACACAACATGTAAACAACTGATGTGTATTTTATTATATTTCTTCATGTTACTTGGTAAAAGTCTGAAATATTTAAAGAAAAATCTTACAAAATAAATAAATATATTATTCTAGAAAATATTCAGTCTTTATTATATACGAAATTCGTCCATTATTGCAATATTGTTTAATGTTTCTTAATAATTTGTAATTATATAATTTAAATAAATTTTAAATTTATATAAAAAATTATCATACAAAAAGTATGATATATCAAGATCAAAAATACATTAAAGGAAAATCAAATAATTTCATTATATAATTAAATCTTTAATTAAACAAATTGGACATTTGTTGAATTAAAATAAATCAAATAATGCAATAAATTCTATAATGTATTTAATGAAGATCAAGAAAAATAGCTTTATTTAATTTTAAGATAATTTATTCAAGCGTTAAGATGAATTTTATAAGTATATTAAAAGACAAAATCTGTATTATTATTATTTTTTATTTATTTTTATAATTTTCATCGTCAATATGAAAATACCATTTTTTTTCTAATTTATAAATTCTGTAAATTCGAAACATTTTAATATTTTTTCCATAAATTACGTTTTAAAGTAATAAATAAAAATTATAGATCTTACGCATTTTATTGATCATAAACTCAAAAAAATTGATGTTGTAAGCTGTATTTAATTTACAATAGAATTTTAATTCTATTAAAGAAATAGGTTAAAAACAAATTTCATTGTAAATTATTTCAGAAAATACTCATAAAACATACAATAAAATAACATTTGTTAAATTTAAATTAGTTTCATTTAATTTTGTTAATATTTCTGTTTATTTTATTAATTAAAAAGCAAACGGAGACAATTAACAAAATTTCTTTCTGTTATAACTTAACTGACACAATGGTTTAAAGTAATAATGAAATGTTCTTTACTATAATTTTATTTATAACCGTATATAATGTAATTAAACGTAATTTTTACTTATTTTTAATTTATTTTAAACACAATTTTAGATAATGCACATTTAATGACTTACAAACGGTTGCTTTGTGAGTTATATAAAGGATTTGTTCCAAAATCTATTACGAAATAGCATTTATGTAAGTTGGAAAAACGTTTGTTCTGTCACCAATCGATTCAGCAATAACAATACTTACAATTGGGTATAGTTTATTTTATTAAAAAAGAATCATATTTTTGTCTTAAATGTAATAAACATAAAATAGATTTATAAATTATATATATTAAGAATAATTTCTATATTTTAAAAATCAAACTTCAATATAGCGCCCTCCTAAATAGCGCCATTATATTGATAGTAAAGCACCGACAAAACTTATAAATGGATCTTCCTCAAAATAATTAAAGATTCGTTCTATACATGCAAATTACTATAAGTACGATTTTGCGATTTTGCATTATACTACATTCTTTGTTTAGAATCGATGTTGTTATCCCCAAATTAAGTGACCTTTAAATTTATATGTTTATCTATAAATGTATAAAGGAATAAGCATCGACAAACGTCGCATGTAGCCAATCAGAATCAGAAGTTCATCTATATTCTGCCAATCATATAAGCCTAACATGTACTCCAGCAAACCGGAAATTTTACCATGATTTGTTTCACGCTTCGAAGATTTAATCGACGATTTCGAGTCCTTGCAGTATATTTTTATTTAAAATTTTATCGAAATCTGTATAGTCTTTGATATTAATCAAATAATTTTCAATTACTTTCGTGTTTATAGATATTATAGATGAAAATAATTCGTATTCCGGAGAACAACAATGGAGGCACATCCGGTTTTATTACAGTGTGATTCCATTTTACCTTGTAAAATTTACTTTTTCAATTTACACAGTGCATTGTATAATTTTTTCCCTAAATATGCATTTTTCGCGTAGACAAACAACGGAATTAATTTCAAATTATTCTTTGTTCTGTAAACATAACGGCTGTCCTTAAGTTACACAGGGTGAGTATGCAGATAATAGTTAGGATACAAGAGGGTTGTCTGTTTACAAAAACGTTACGTAATGATAGAATCTCGACCCTCGGGTAACAGAATAATTCATTTTTGTCTCCGAAGAGTTGTATAGTAAACCGTACCGTTTATATCATTATTTTGTACATAATTAATAAAATAATGTAACGTTCAATATTCTTGCAGTGTATTATTCATTAATATAATTAAGGAAGTTGATCGAGAATACGCGTTATGAAATTTTGGGAGTGGATATTGCGACATGTTATGGGGCGTTTCTGGAGGACGGGACGATAGTTCAAAAGTATAAAAATAGAGTTACATAATTTATAGACGATTCCATATACTGATTTCTAAAGATCCTTATAATTATTTAACTGTAAGAAATACAAATACAATCCATATCGAAACATAAAAATAATGTAATACAGACTACATAATGCATATATTAACGGCGTGATTGCGCCGCGCGCCTGCTAAGTTAACACATATAAAATTGTATGGTGTACTTATGAGGTGTGATGTGTGTTGGATTCTCTCTCAGAGGCTTTGGGAATCAAATTTAAACTAAAAAATTTGTCTTAAATAACAAATCTAAATTTACATTTTATTAATGAATAATTCAATATCAATCAATTATTTCATTTCTTGTTATAATTTTTAAAAAATGAATGATCGGTTATCAATCGCTCACTTAAAATTACAACGTCACCATGGATTGTTCTAGAGAAAGATCATACTTCAGATCTAGTTAGTTCTTGAAGTTTCCTTCCAGATATATTGAAAACATTCCAGAACATTTGTCTGGGAATATATAAGGGACACTTAACTTTTCTTCATTCTAATTGTAATTGTAATTCTAATTACTTTCTACATCATTCTCCCAGATCACCCCCAGAGCAAAATCTTAGTTACACCGCTTATTGTTTTTATTATTACAATTTAACGTTACGCTGGATTTAGTAACAGTTTTGTGTGCGAATAAATTGCGCTGCTAAATATAAGCTTATACATATGCATACATTCAATTAGATACATAAACACGTTCATATATATGTTACTGTACCTAGTTATAATAATGCTATATAACTTATAAATTTCTGAAGGAAAACTTACAGTTTTCCTTCAGAAATTTATTTCCTTCAGAAGTATTGTTTTATATGCGTATTTTCTGAAGGAAAACTTACAGTTTTCCTNTAAGGATGGGTGTTTTCATTACTTTTTCCAAAAATAACTCTTTTATTATTTTATTTATTTTATAGATATGTCAGATTACCGATACAATCAAGAATACGTGCACGAGAGACGAAGAAAAAAATTCTAAAACTATGACACACATCGGAGCAGAACGCATCATACCTAACAATGACTGCGGAAATATGGATTTCTCCGGGAGTACTGAAGAAATTATGACATTAGTGTTCCTCGGCATCATGAACTGTATTGTGATAGCTGGGAACATCTTGGTTATACTAGCCGTTACGTTGAACCCGAAATTACGCACCGTAACTAATTTCTTTATTGTGTCATTAGCAGTGGCAGATCTGTTAGTAGGTTTAGCAGTTTTGCCGTATTCAATATCTCTAGAAGTGCTAAGAGTATGGATATTTGGGCCGGTCTGGTGTCAAATATGGTTAGCGGTAGATGTATGGATGTGCACTTCTTCCATACTCAATTTATGTGCCATAAGTTTAGATCGTTACGTGGCCATAACCAGGCCGGTTCACTACAGGTCAATCATGACGAAAATACGTGCCAAGATTCTCATTGCTACAGTTTGGGTTTTCTCTTTTGTGATTTGTTTCCCTCCTTTAGTCGGATGGAACGACAGTTCTATGGGTATCGATACTTTTTACGGTTCAAAAGATACACCAAAACATATACCTAAAGACATAACGCTCACCAATTTATCTAGCCTTACGTACTTCCACGTAGAAAATTATAGTTTACCAATCATCAAAGACGATTGCAAACTCAGTTGTGCCCTGATTAATAATAAGGGATACGTAGTATACTCGTCACTCGGGTCGTTTTACATCCCAATGCTAATCATGCTGTTCTTTTACTTTCGAATCTATCAAGCCGCTTTGAAAACAAGTCGTGCCTTAAACTGCGGTTTTAAAATTACAAAAAATAGTAACAAAAAGGAAACTAAAAACGAAAATCACGGTGTGACTCTCAGAATACATAGAGGTAAGCAATTCCCGGACTTGAGTTGTACTAATGGTAGGAGAGCCGGTGTCCTGGTGATACCAGCTTCACCTTCACCTTCTAGAAGAAATTCCAGTGATAAAAAATTAGACGAAGCAGACACTACTTCACTGAGGAGTAATACAGGTAACTCGACAAAATCTGTAACTTTAAGTGACGAGAAAGATGGAAAAGAAGAAGGCGAAAAATCTTCCAGTAAACATGGACGTTCATTCTTTTCGAGGATGAGCAAAAGGAACGCTAGGCTACATGCTAAACGATTTTGGTCAGAAACCAAAGCTACTAAAACTGTTGGTATCATCGTTGGTTGTTTTATATGTTGTTGGTTACCTTTTTTCACCGTTTACTTAATCAGACCGTTTTGTGAAGATTGTTTTCCTCAATTATTATTTACAATTTTTTTCTGGTTGGGTTATTGTAATTCAGCCATAAATCCGTTCATATATGCCCATTTCAGTAAAGATTTCAGATGCGCATTTAAGAATATTCTATTCAAATGTCAATTCAAGGATGAAGGTATATCATCTCTCATCAGACAGATACATGTACCATTCTTTGAAGAAGATTATGACGATAAAAACGATTCTCACTAAAATTTGTTTTATTTATTTTTTAAATTTTAACTAAACTGTGATTATAACGAGCTTTATATTACAATACGTAGCCTAATTTATGTATTTATAAAACAAAAAATTCTGAGACACATTAATATTTATCGAAAATGATTATAAAGAAAAACTTTTTATCAGACAGCTGTGAATTTTGTTAAATTAGCGATGGTAACAGGATAATCATCCAAAAAGTGATTAGATAATCTGAACATTAGTGTAATAGTTAAATTTATTGATCTATTTTTTAAATTAATGTTCCAGACAAATCACGTGTTTCCAAATATAGGGCATTAATTAAGTGAAACTTTTTAATCTATAAGTTTATAGATATCTCTATGAAATTTTAGACTTTTATCAAAGTTCTAATACAGATTTGTTTAAATATATTAGAAGTAATCTTTAATCATAAAGCTTTGTTTTTAAAACTATTCAGATATTTTTGTTAAATAAATAATCAAATTTACATTTTTTTTAAAAAAGATTTAATATATTAGTACGTACAGTACATATGTTGTTCATTCACATTCGCATAATTATAGTTAAATTAAATGCAATCATGAGATTATTTTTCCATGAGAACGTCTATATCATGAGATTGTCGTCACTGTATAATGTATAAGACATACTAATGCATGATAATCATGCAACTGTTCATTGGTGTTAATTATTAACATATGCATATATTTTTTTTAAAATTCAAGTTACCATCGCTTTTATTTAACTATGTAACAAAATTTTGTAACCCGATAAGCAGTTGAATTTATTATTTAAATTACAAAATTTCTGTAGCTTCTTTTTAGGAGCTATTTTGAATGTTGGCTTCTATGTAGCTTATATTAAACAGTAAAATATTAATATTATTTCAGAAAATCTTGTGATTTTCTGAATTAGTTTTCGTCAATCAATTAAAAGTGATCAAAAAGTTATAATTTTGAAATGTATTACTATTTTATTTTTCTCAGTCTCAGTGACCGAAAATATAAATGTAAACCAGGACACTAGTACAAACAGTATCATATATATTATTTTGTTTACATTTATAACAAAAATTATCATATTTGAAGATAAATAATTAAAATTTAAAGCTGCTAAATTTGATGTTTAAAAAGTATTCATTATTTAAATGTTCGAAAATATTTATAATTTAAATTTATTACAGAAGATGACGCACAAATTAATTACAAAGAACACATTCCTTAGATATATGTGCCAGCATTTATCACACTCTACAAATCACTTATAAATTAATATTAAGTTAAAAGTGATTATTTGCATTAAAAATGGATAAATCTAGTGTTCTGGTTTCTATTTTGGGGAATTTATATTTATTTTACAAACGTTTTTTAAGTATACGTTATTATCAATATTCTACATTGTATTGTTGTCATTGTTGTATAGTTTACGCTTCATATGTTATAATTTAAAAATTAAAGAAAAAAACTATCAAAAGACGTAGGTCTAAGTGTACGTTTAAAAACAAATCAAAATGTTGTGAAAGAAAAGAATATTTTAAAAAGTGTATCCTAATAATGCTTAATTGGGTGAAAAAAAGATATTTTCAAAATTCATAATTAACAATGTTTGATGTAAAGCATCATCTACAATATGTTTTGTTTGATGCTGGATGTTGTCCATAAATGTGCATTTAAATATGCCATTATATTGTCCAAAATAGATTTATGCATGTGGTGTTTAGACAATCGAAAAAAAACTAAAAAAAAAATTATTGTGATATTCAGAGTAAAAATGGTTTGTTCCAAATATTTTTTGTGTAATGTTTTTTCTTTACACATCTTTTATTTATATTTTAACATTTAAAATAATTTAATACTACATAAAATTGATATATTATAAGAATAAGCCTTAAATTATTCCAAAAAAAGCACAAATTATATTAAATACTTTCATTGTTCTGTATAAATACTTAATTTTATAATAATCACGATTTATTTTATTTTAATTTACATAAAAATTTTTATCGTAATCTATAATTATATTCTCGTAATCAAATAACTGAATTTGTTTAATCTGTTGCTAGACTTAATTACTTACGTTGTTGGATGTGTTTTAAGTAATTTTCTTTGTGTTTATAAAGAAATTATTCTAGATTATCATATATCATGCGTAATTATTAATGTAATTATGGAGGATTACTCAGTATCGTTGCTAAGGATAATAAGTTATTTAATGATACAATCGTCTAATGTAGTTCTAACTTAATTGACTAGCTGATAAAGCAATTAATCATTTTAGGAAAATAGGATTTGTTAGGAGTGGATCAATTGCAATTCCCTAAAGAAAGAAAGAACTTTTACTTTCCTTTTGATAAAGTTGTAGGATTTTCAAATTATTTCTATTTCTGTCAATCAACTCTACATATGTAACACAATAAAATATAATTACTTATAAAATAACATCATTAATTTGCTTATTCTCACCGAATTTACATGCAGAAAAATTGTTTAAATTGTGTATTCTCAGGCGAATTAAATTTTTCTTTGAATACAAATGATTTATGATTAAGAACAAATTATAAAAGCACAATAAGAGATATAAAATAATTTTGTATTCATAATATATAATATTTTTGAATTAATTTAGAAAAAATATTTATAATATAAATAAAAGTTTTAAAATTCTAAAGTTCTGAAGCTTTTTTAAATCTTATAATATTTAAAATACTGCGTATTTATATCAAAGATTCTAAGCATTCTTCGTGTCATTTTACATTGAATTCTATTTTATTTTATATGAGAAAAACACAATTTGTTAGAAGAGAAACAAGATCATTTACATTAGAAATAATTTTTTTTTCTTAAGCAAATTCCGTTTTTCCAAAGTGATTGATTTCTTTATTTGACGATTTTATCATTAAATAATTTATCATCTTTCTTAAAGATAATTATTTTCAATCCTATAAATGATTAAAAAATAATTTTTATTTATAAAAAATAGTATAAATTTTCTATTATTTAATAGAAAAATTTAATTGAATGATCAGTTTAAATTCTCAATTAAAATTTAATAAAAGATATAAACGATTTTCTAATTAAGAACTTATTATCGAAAAGAATAAAAATTATTTTATTCTGAAAAAAATTAATTATATTTAAAATTATTATTATGTACCATTAGACTATAAATTAATATTAATTTTTAAATTTTAGCANAATCCATATCGAAACATGTTTATTTATTGTTTGCGAATTTTCATAGAAAAAAATTGTCGTACGAAAACCTGAGACGATAACGACGCAACTAAAATGTCAGAGTTGAGCAAGTTGCTTGAAAAGAAAATCGAAATAACGTTTCTGATAAAGAAAATAAGAAACCAAAATTAAATAAATTTTAATTAAAACGATTCAAAAATTGTTAATTCAATCAACATCTAAGAAATTTAATTATAATCATAACAATATCATTTTTCCAATTTCATTATTTATTATTATTTATATAATCCGTTTCATTCTGTGATTATGAATTTAATATAATTATTTGTTTAATAAAGTAATTAACTACTGACGTCATCAATTAAATAATTATAATTGATTATTGAATTTAATGAGGATAACAAACTATATTATTGTGTGGTAGACGGAAGGAAATTGCCTATCAATAAAAATACCAATTTGTAAATCAATTGAAAATTTTCTACTGAATTCTATTGAAATTGAAATGAAAAAACATATATAACTTATGATTTTCATATTAATAATACAGAAATTAATATAGGAGAGATAACGCGAGAAGAAAATAATTAATACAACCTTTAACGTTAAATAAGTAAAAATATAAGTATTTTCAGTAAAATTTTCAAATATTTTATTAATTTTAAATATCATAAATATTACGTAATTTAAATTTAAATATAAATAATTTGATTATATGTAATTAATAATATTTCTCATGCAAAAATATATCAAAAACGCCTAAAATCAATATTAAAAAAATATCTGAATTACTTGATTATTTGACATTTTACTACATGAATTTATTGTTGTTCATATAATAAATTAATTTAGTTTTTTTTAAAACTAAATTTTATACAAAACTTAATCTATAACTAAAACACATAAGTATTTATTCTTTAATAAAAGATTTACTTTTTAAATATTTTTTTCCCTCTTCATCTTTTTCTTAGTATAATTCGTAAAGCAAACATCTTGTATAAATGTTAGCAAAAATGTTCTTCGAAAATTTTCTTACCATTAGATTATTATATTTTCACATTAAATTAAAAAAATTTAGTTAAATTAAAAATATGCTAGAGAATTTTTCTGATTTACTGTAAATCTTGGAGGAAATAACAGTAAAATGAAGCCTGTATTCTATATACACAACATGTAAACAACTGATGTGTATTTTATTATATTTCTTCATGTTACTTGGTAAAAGTCTGAAATATTTAAAGAAAAATCTTACAAAATAAATAAATATATTATTCTAGAAAATATTCAGTCTTTATTATATACGAAATTCGTCCATTATTGCAATATTGTTTAATGTTTCTTAATAATTTGTAATTATATAATTTAAATAAATTTTAAATTTATATAAAAAATTATCATACAAAAAGTATGATATATCAAGATCAAAAATACATTAAAGGAAAATCAAATAATTTCATTATATAATTAAATCTTTAATTAAACAAATTGGACATTTGTTGAATTAAAATAAATCAAATAATGCAATAAATTCTATAATGTATTTAATGAAGATCAAGAAAAATAGCTTTATTTAATTTTAAGATAATTTATTCAAGCGTTAAGATGAATTTTATAAGTATATTAAAAGACAAAATCTGTATTATTATTATTTTTTATTTATTTTTATAATTTTCATCGTCAATATGAAAATACCATTTTTTTTCTAATTTATAAATTCTGTAAATTCGAAACATTTTAATATTTTTTCCATAAATTACGTTTTAAAGTAATAAATAAAAATTATAGATCTTACGCATTTTATTGATCATAAACTCAAAAAAATTGATGTTGTAAGCTGTATTTAATTTACAATAGAATTTTAATTCTATTAAAGAAATAGGTTAAAAACAAATTTCATTGTAAATTATTTCAGAAAATACTCATAAAACATACAATAAAATAACATTTGTTAAATTTAAATTAGTTTCATTTAATTTTGTTAATATTTCTGTTTATTTTATTAATTAAAAAGCAAACGGAGACAATTAACAAAATTTCTTTCTGTTATAACTTAACTGACACAATGGTTTAAAGTAATAATGAAATGTTCTTTACTATAATTTTATTTATAACCGTATATAATGTAATTAAACGTAATTTTTACTTATTTTTAATTTATTTTAAACACAATTTTAGATAATGCACATTTAATGACTTACAAACGGTTGCTTTGTGAGTTATATAAAGGATTTGTTCCAAAATCTATTACGAAATAGCATTTATGTAAGTTGGAAAAACGTTTGTTCTGTCACCAATCGATTCAGCAATAACAATACTTACAATTGGGTATAGTTTATTTTATTAAAAAAGAATCATATTTTTGTCTTAAATGTAATAAACATAAAATAGATTTATAAATTATATATATTAAGAATAATTTCTATATTTTAAAAATCAAACTTCAATATAGCGCCCTCCTAAATAGCGCCATTATATTGATAGTAAAGCACCGACAAAACTTATAAATGGGTCTTCCTCAAAATAATTAAAGATTCGTTCTATACATGCAAATTACTATAAGTACGATTTTGCGATTTTGCATTATACTACATTCTTTGTTTAGAATCGATGTTGTTATCCCCAAATTAAGTGACCTTTAAATTTATATGTTTATCTATAAATGTATAAAGGAATAAGCATCGACAAACGTCGCATGTAGCCAATCAGAATCAGAAGTTCATCTATATTCTGCCAATCATATAAGCCTAACATGTACTCCAGCAAACCGGAAATTTTACCATGATTTGTTTCACGCTTCGAAGATTTAATCGACGATTTCGAGTCCTTGCAGTATATTTTTATTTAAAATTTTATCGAAATCTGTATAGTCTTTGATATTAATCAAATAATTTTCAATTACTTTCGTGTTTATAGATATTATAGATGAAAATAATTCGTATTCCGGAGAACAACAATGGAGGCACATCCGGTTTTATTACAGTGTGATTCCATTTTACCTTGTAAAATTTACTTTTTCAATTTACACAGTGCATTGTATAATTTTTTCCCTAAATATGCATTTTTCGCGTAGACAAACAACGGAATTAATTTCAAATTATTCTTTGTTCTGTAAACATAACGGCTGTCCTTAAGTTACACAGGGTGAGTATGCAGATAATAGTTAGGATACAAGAGGGTTGTCTGTTTACAAAAACGTTACGTAATGATAGAATCTCGACCCTCGGGTAACAGAATAATTCATTTTTGTCTCCGAAGAGTTGTATAGTAAACCGTACCGTTTATATCATTATTTTGTACATAATTAATAAAATAATGTAACGTTCAATATTCTTGCAGTGTATTATTCATTAATATAATTAAGGAAGTTGATCGAGAATACGCGTTATGAAATTTTGGGAGTGGATATTGCGACATGTTATGGGGCGTTTCTGGAGGACGGGACGATAGTTCAAAAGTATAAAAATAGAGTTACATAATTTATAGACGATTCCATATACTGATTTCTAAAGATCCTTATAATTATTTAACTGTAAGAAATACAAATACAATCCATATCGAAACATAA